ATATATATATATATATATATATATATATATATATATATATATATATATATATACATACATAAAATTTGAAAAAACATTTTTAAAAATGTCTAAACTAAAATTGGAAGAAAAATCTATTTGAGATGATTTAAAATAATAATGATTTAAAATAAAGGTTTTTACTTAAAAGTTATTCAAAAGTAACTCTATAAACAATTGTTTGATTAAAACATTTTTCAAAGTTGCAATTTTGGATTGGATTGTTTTTTCCTTTCCATTTACAAAATGTGTTCTTGGTTTGCAAAAAGAACAAAACAAACTTCACTCCATATACTTAGAGCTGTATAAAAAAAAAGCCCTTTTTATCTAATTTATATATTTTTATGTGTTTTTGCTACTGAATGCCTCCTTGTGCTCTGCAACCTTGCACAAAGTAATCAGAGCATTGCAGAGTAAATGTAAAAATGTTGAACAAAGATACACTAAAGTAAAAAGAGCAGTTTGGACAGCATGGAGTTATTTTCTATTTTATTCCTAAACTGAATCATTTCTAATATAAAATACAAATGATTGTGTCCCTGAGAATGAAAATGATGCAATGAATATGATTATGTGGTGCCAGAGCTCATCTTATACACGGCAGAATAAATATGGAAATTTGGTTCCACACTTTGATGGCGGCTGAGGTGCAGTAATAGGAACTGACTGTATACTTCAGGTTTATTCATGTCACAGTTTCTGACTGACGGCAACTAAAACAAGATCTCATCAAGTGAGAAAGGACTGCAGTGGATTTTGCTTTTGAGTAAACTAAGCCTTAAATCTGCCACTATAACCTTGGAGCTGTGTGAATGAAGTGTGAAAGTTCCCCCAGAGTTGATTACAGGTCCGCAAAACAACGCAGCATAACAATGAGACGACCTGTCAGACAAGGCCGTGGCTTTCAGTCAGGTGGAGGAGCGGGGCTGAATGTCTCGCCTACCTTTCTCGTGGTCAGCCATGCTGTCTCGCAGCAGGCAGCTGAGCTGGTGGCCATTGAGATGCAGGAAGCGCAGCTGGTCCCGGAGCGGGGCTTCCTCCAAGACGCCGGGGATGACTCGGCCGACGCTGTTCTGAGATATGGGCAGCCCGAGTCCCAGGGCCAGGGTCGGGGCCAGGTCGACCTGCTCCACCACTGCAGGCTTCTCCAATCCAGCTTTAAGAACAAAAGAGAAGCGAGCTGATGGCTGATGATAAAAACACAGACTGACCAGAGGCAGTTCTTTAGCTTATCAGGCAACTGAGTGCAATAGAAGAACCCACACATGCATGGGCTGGGAATCAAACCCAGAAGCATCACTTCTATCAGCAAGAATAAACTTTAAAAAGATGAATTTCTGTTTGCATATTTATATCTTTGTTAGTTTGCAAACATGAAACATGGAAAAGTTTGGGAACCTCTGGTCTAAATAACAGCTGTCGGTTTTGTATCTGAAAGGCCTGATAAATATTTAGAGCCGTTTCAGTGTGGCTGTGAGTGTTTTGCTAAAGACAAAGTCTAATAACTACATTTTTTGTCCATCTAAGCGCAGGCATAACATTGTGAAGACTGGTGGAGACAGACCCCACCAATAATTTTTGCTTTTTTTCCCGCCTTTCTGCTCTTTGTTCCGCAGAGTGTTTTCATTCGGTGTTTTTTTCCTCTCTCATGCTGCTCCTGTGTCCCGCCTCACAGTGTAACATCATCAAATCGGTCGCTTTGAGACATTTCATTCTGTGATCGCATTTCACTAACGTACAAAGTAGCTACGTGGTTGGAAGAGAGACACACAGCAGCACTCGCTGAATATTCACCAACAGCTACTTTCATGTTTAAGTAAAAGTAAAAAAAAAAATTAGAGATGCCTCCGACAAAATCCATTTGTTAGACACACAGAGCTTTTTCTGCAAAAGATTGTAAGTTTATACAAGTTAGTATTATAATGCAAGAAGCTTGAGAAAATATAGTTTAAATTTTGTGTTCTTCTTTACTATAAAAGCTGGGATTCTCAGAAGACCATGACTCCCAGTTACAGCCTAAAATTAACACTTTTTCCCTTTTTTACAGACAGAATCAGACTGCAGAGCTTCTACGTATCTTGAAATTCAGTTTCTGGCATCATTATATTAGTAAAGAGCAGGGCTGGGTATTTTCTCCAAAGTCCTGAATCGATTCGATTTTGATTCAGTTCTGAATCGATTTATTTCGATTCGATCTGTTTTTACAATAATGAAGGTGGTTCAACTGTGTTTCAAAATACTCATGTATTTTATTTTTTTCCTGTCACATTAAACACAAAGTGCAAACTTGTAAATTGGACGGTTTAAACTTGAGATGTGAACAAAACTGTCTCATAAGTGCAAACTTGTTTGTGAAAAGTGAAAAAGTAAAGCTTCACTCACTCAGACATTCATGAGCTGCATTATCTTCACTGCACAAACCATATTTGCAGCGTTGTCTGTAACAACTACAGGTTTTTGCCGGTCAGCCCCCATTTGTTAATGTCTTCAGTCAACCTGTTGGCTATATTTGCAGCTGTCTGGCTTGAAGTGATCTTGAGTGCATCTTTCCTGCTCATTTGAGTGTGAACATTATGTACTAATCGATCTCATTCCGTAGACATCGACTTTGCAAATATGTAAAGGAATCGATTCAAAATCGATTAAAACGATTTTTTTTACCCAGCCCTAGTAAAGAAATCTTTTTAAATAGCACAGAGGGAAGATTTAAAGGTGAAACAGGATAAGCAACATCTAATAAAGTATATTGGCAAGTTTACCAGAAAGTTTAAAAGAAAAAATATGCTAAGCTTCATTTAAAATGCTCTCTAACTATCTATAAATATAAATAGCAGTGTGTTATGGTTCTCTTGTGTTCTCAACAATAGGAAAGCATTCAATAAATATATGTTTGAGCTCATTTTTTAGAAAATACAAACACCTAATATAGGGGTTTAGGTCAAGTAAACCCCCCCCAGACTGTCCCCACCAACTTTCATCACAAAGTTACACCCTTTGCATCTAAGAAACATTTTTGGTTCTTTCCCACAAAGCCTTTCACACGCCTCATCAGGAAAAATCTTTTTAAAAACTGTTCTTGTCCTGGAGTCAGAAACGTAAAATCAGCAGTAGCTGTGAAACATCCCAGTGTTCAATAACTGGGAAGACAATGACGACGTGCTAATTTAATGCCGCATGTTGTTGTAGTTCCTGCTGGGCCACCACTTCTGAACCTTTAGCAGTGGGCGAGAAGGAAAAGTCTAAAATTCCTTTAATCCATGAGGCAGAATACGACTTTCATGGGTTCAAACCAGGGCAACAACAACTCCACATCATTATTCCCACATTAACACCCATGAGGAGGGTTTGTCAGGACGTCTGCAACAACATCTACCAAATAAGATGTGAATTTAATCATCATCATCGTCATCAAATGGGTCCTGCGCTCCACTTTTCAAAGCTCATCTCCTGTCAAGCGTTTTCGATGTTGACAATTTGCTTCCTGAAGAGAGCTTCCGACAACACAGGCAGGCGGTGGGAGAGCTTTTTCTCCCCAAACTGTCGGCATCTGAGTGAAGTTTTCAGGTTGCAGTAATGAATTAAGCTCTTACAGAAAACCTCTTGCATGAACAGAGGATCTGTCAGGAAGTGAGACAAAATCCTTAGCTCATTTCAACACACTGATACAAGCCGGATAATGATCAATTTTGTAATAGAAGGAGCAACACTGAGTTCATACCTCGGGAATGTAATAGTCTACAGGGAACTAAATCTGCTTTTTCTGTTTTTGTTTAGCTGCATATCTAAACTTGGTATTGTTAGTTGCAATTATGCTAATAGCTAAAACAGGAAAACCTCTTTTTAAACCCAGTGTATAAAGTTCTGTTTTCAACAAAGCTTTTGATCTCAATGCTCCATATAGAAGGGGAGGAGGCTTTATCCATCAGAAAAACTATACACTCATCTCCATAGAGGAAAACGTACGGAAGAGGATAACGGCCACTGGGGGGAAAAAAAAAAAAAAAATCTGATTTTTAAAAGTTTTTTCAGTTTAATATGGGAATAAAGTCAGAATCTTGACTTTTTTTCTCAGAATTCTGACTTTAATCTCAGAATCTTGGGTCTTAATCTTAAAGGGCACCCTGAAGGAAGAGATGTGGGAGCACTCGGCTTCTATAACAAAGATGTGAGTTGTTTGGGAGGTCCTGTAACACATTGGTGGAAAATGATGGAATTAGGAGACTTTTTATAAGTCCGAGGGGTCCCAGGTTAATCTATTTCATTAATGGAAGAGCAGAAGGCGATTAAAACAAGAGAGCTAGTTTAGTCTAGTCTAGACATGGCTACGGCTTGATGCTAACATGTTTGTTAGCTGTCAAAAGTCTGACTTTTTTCCCATATTAAACTGAAATAATATTTAAAAGTCAGTTACCTTTTGTTTTTTATTCAGTGGCCCTAATCCTTCTCCAAAAACACAATAAAAGAATTTCAATTATCTTCAGAGATGCAACAAGATTTTCATGTTTATCAGACAGTTGATCAATAGAAACACTGATGGCAAAATCCAATCCTTTTGCTACCAGTGAATGCATCACTGACTAGGCTTCTGAATAAAAATATTTTTTTAATACAGAGGTTATGGAAAAATGGTAAAGAAAGTTTAAAAAGTTTGCCATTTTGAAGTGAATTCAGGAAGCAGTTTTTCACCTCTATGCCAAGACATGCATTCTGCATTTAATCTGCAAAAAGGAGAGAGAGAGCAAACCTTTCAGCAGATGTGTGATGCATCAGATCAGTGATTCCAGACCTTTTTTGACTTGTGTTCCACTTTGGGCATTTTGTCTTACCATGAGTTCCCCTCTCAGTCAAAAGTATTGATGATTGTTTAAAAATTTAAAACGTACAATAACTAATTATAAAATAAAAATTATTTGACTGAATCTTTCAATTTCAGCATTTGATTCTTAGGCATTTTGTGTTTTCCATCTCAAATAAAAACAATGTAAATACTTTGCCTGGAAGTTAGTAAGGAATCTAAATAAATACAAAATAAAATCATATTATAATCCAGTATTTATAAAACAGGAGCTCCTCTGAGTAACTCCCTTAGAGTCAGATTTAACCCTTTAAAGCCCGATCCTAGAATAAAACAAAACAGAAAATTACTTTTTTTTTTTGGTTTTAATTCCTTATTTCCCTTTTAACAAAATATGTAAAAAGAAAAAACAGAAATACATTTTTGATATTAATAATTTATTACTATGTGATAAGTCAAGTTAATTTTTTGTGTAGTCTTCTACTGGCTGTTATCAGGTATATCTGATTGTGTACAATAGGATTTTGAGCAAAGTTTTTACCATTAAATTATGCAAAAGTTGTCAGATGCAAAACATTTCAGAAACCGTATGTATCAAATATGATACATTTGGCATTATAGGGTTAACTTGATGAATCAGGACCAAAATACAGAACCAAAATTATAGTCAGACTGACTTAATTAGAATTAGTTTGTTTTTAATCAAAACATTGAGCTCCGATAGCTTAGTGTGAAAGACAGCTGATCCCAGGCTGTTCTCTACATCCAGGCTGTTCCTCTGCTTGGTTTGGATGTGTGTCACAGCTGAAGGTTGAACTCAAACCTATAGAATAAAATGTCCAATATTAAAGCATGGTCTGCACTATTATCACTATTTATTGTGCAGGACTGGAGACTGAAATTGAAATTTAACTAAAACTTTAAGGTGCCTGCAAAAGTAAAGAATGAATAGAAAATATACTTCAATTCGCTTCATTTTAGAGGAATTCTATAATTATTGTTCTTGTTTTTTAATTAAAGTTTCTCATTAAGCCATGGCATTTCCAACCATCAGAGCTACAGTATTTCTTTTTAAAGAACCCTCACCTTCCGCACCCGTTACATTGGATATTTTTGTCAGTAGGTTATTAAAAGACTCTCTGATCAGTTTCTCCACTCCAAAGTAAACATTTTGTTCCTTTTTCAAAATGTTAAAACATCTTGAGCAGTCATGCAAACTGCTGCAACCAAAAACTACATAAAAATGTTAAAATTATTTCACTTCTTATTCCCTCAGAGAAAAAAAAATAACAGAAGTAAAGGGGGGATTAAAATTTAAATATTTACTTTCCACATTTTCATTCAGCGGTTCAACGTGTTCCTCTCTCCCTGCACTGTGTGCACAATTCAGATGGTGAAACCTCCATGTGTTTAGTGAGCTGTCCATTAAACAACGGCCGGCTGTTGAACTAGTTTTAATACTTGATTCTCAAGGTTTAGCTGAGGTAACAAGAGTTGTTTTTTTCCTTCTCCTTTTTTAAAAACATTGTCAAAATGTGAGCAATTATCCACAACCGATTTGAGGACAGTGAAGGTGGAGAGATCGAACCAAATAGAGGCAGACACTTACTGAAATAAGCAACAACAGTCCTAGCAATGCCTGAATAAAGTGGATTTGCCTCTCAGGGTCCTCCAAGCAAAGTCAATTAAATGTTCTGCCAATATGTGCTTCTCTAAGTGATGCAATGAGATTAAAGAGTGAAGCTCAGGTATTCAGCGAGCACCGATTCTTATATGGTGAAGCATGCGCTAATGAAAACAACAGGGAGAAAAGCTCTCTGCTAATGACCCCTGGTTTGGAAAAATAAGTCAGTTATGCTAATGAGGCCGCAGATTTCATTGACTCAGTGTCACCATGTTTATTTCTACAGGCAGTACTTAAAAAGAAAACACCTTACAAGATTATGCTACATTCAATTAGAGAGACTAACTTTTCATTACTTGATTTTCATCAAACATTTAAGACATTTTACATGGATCTGTTTCTCTCTCAATGACACATTATAACCTCTTTATCTATCCTACAACACACTAAACATTTGCCCCTTCAAGTAAACTCAAATCATTTCCTTCCTTCTTACCTCATCTATGACTGCTCTCATAATCATGTCATGCCATAAGCCATGATATTAATTTTGGGCTTTGGTGGACCAATGTCTATGCAGGCTTTCTTTGCAAACTCTACAGGGTGCAGCCCCTCAGTAGGACACTGCAAAGGAGAAGATTCTACACGCAGAGGGATAAGGGCTGGTTATCCTCCTGCAGCAGTGCGTCGCCACAAACCAAGAAGGACAATCACGAAATAGCTGTCTGTCTAGATACGGCCTAGGCGGTGAGGAAGTGGGGCTACGTTTGTGCAACAACGGAGGGACATGAGGGCGAAAAAGAGCGGAGATAGAGGTGGAAAAAGGGTCCCAGCGTTCTAACGCACCTCGCTCTTCTAGCTGGTCTATCTTCACGAGTCGTTTTCCACAATGGCGGTCATACAAAGAAAACAAGCCAGTAAGGTACCAGGAAATACGCAGATTTGACCAATAAGATGCGTCCTGTCTGTTGTTCCCTACAGTTTCGGAGAGGTGCAGCAGAGTGTCTGCGGAAGGGGCAGGGACATATCTGCGTTCACTGAGACACACACGCAGACGACCTGGTTTCTGGGTATAAATCAGCCTATAGGCCTCCCTGCTGAGCTTGCCTTTAAAAACTCCCACACTCATTCTCTTTTCCTGTGGACCCGTACCAGGCCACATTGGGGGTAAACAGCTGTATGAGCACTGCATGTTTTAATAGAGTTCAATCTTTAACCCCTGCTGTAGTTAAAGGTATAGTGGAGGATGTTCTTTTTCAGGGTGGATCATCTAAATAAGTGGTCCTCCTAATTGTCTATCATTCTGGTCATGTGTTTATGTAAAGCTGTCCTACGTGCTCGTCCCCATTTTCACTCTGGTGGTTAGTCTGACATAGTGGAAAAATTGCAAATCTTTTTTTGGAAAGTAAGCTTGTATGAGCGATGCAAACAGCAACTTTTAAATAGAGCGTGTGTCTGTTCGCAAAACAGTTTTGCTGGTACGCGTCTGCAACGTCGGCCTGGACTTTCTAGGGACGCACAGCAGTTTCCCACCATAGCTCTAGGGGGAGCCTATTAGAGAACTCGCGAGAACTTCTCTAATATGGCGGATTACGAAAACTTCTTCGGCAGCACTGGCGGGAGTGTTATTTTCCAAAACAACATGTCTGAGGCATAGTACAAGTGGTTATACTTCCGAACCTTCTCGACAATCATCGTGGTTATCCATTGTTGTTATTACTCCTTTGTTTTTAAAAATGGCGCACCGGCAGCAAATCGAGAAGGACGACCACACAGACAGCCGGAAAGGCATACCAAGGACCAATAACAGCTGCTTTTTGTCTGCACACTTCTGCAACCTCTGCGCGGCGGGGGTGCGGTTGTGCACAGAGACAGATTTGACGGTTGCAAAGGCTGTGTGTCAGAAAAATAAATTGGCCTAAAAGCTACATGCTGCTAGCCAAGCCTTCTTGCTAAACCAGATCCTGGAAAAGGAAATTTCTTGCACCATTTCTCTCTCCTCTCTCTTTCCAATGCTTGTCCAACCCCCGTGACTCGACCTGTCAATCACCCGCGTAACGTCTGCACTGTGGCGGGAGATGGTGAGCAAATACACTTCCTGTCTCCTCAGGTCGCAGCCTAGCTGCAGAGGAGCTACTGTGCATGTACAACTTTTAACGAGAGTCAATGGGCAAAGATTTTTGCGCTGTAGGGCGGAAATACGTCACCAATCCGACGAATATTGGAATGATGCTTCACTAGTCATTAAAGATTAAATTTAATTAAATTAAATTTATCTTACATCTAAAAATATAGAGATATATTTCAAAATATTTTAGATTTTATTTTAAAGTTAAATTATAAAAAGAAATAATAATTTTTTTAATGTCTTAATAATTGTCATTGGGTGTGGGGCGGTGCCCTGGCGCCCTCTTGGCCAGCCGCCACTGGTTTAAAGACTATTAAGAAATAAAAGTTAGTGTTTTTCATTATATGATCGTTACATTTCATTGCCAAAATAGTTTAATCGATTTGCAAAATAATTGTTAGATGCAACCCTAAATGACTTTTACTGCACATTTGTTCTGAGGTTTTTTATGACGTAAAGCCCTTTTATTTGTCTTGCCTCTGAAATGTGCTTGCAAATAAAATTTACTTGCTAGGATTTCAATATACATAAAATCTTTATCACTTGACAAATTCTATTTTATAGCAAGCAGCGGAAAAAGTGATTCTGACTCCGAATAAGTAAGAGACCACTGCTCTAAAACCTGCTAGTGTTTACACTGTTCAGTGTCTGGAGAACCTTAGTGAACCAGTGGTTTGACTGCAAGAGATTCATTACCATAAATAGTGTTTAAATAAAAAACAAGCAAAGGGAAATGTCAGAAAATAGAATCTGATAACAACATTGTTATCGCCATCACACGTTCACACTCAGCCTCATTCATCACTTCAAAGCTCACTTCTGCTAGTGAGCCCGATGACATCATTCCTCACATTACAGCAGATGTAACCTCATCTGGGAGCAGGAAAAACGACTCAAAACTGATTCTAACTGGGGTGTAAAGCTGACAGACAAAGCAGGGGTCCTACTTTTTACACTGATGAAGCAGCATTAGTTAGTTTACCTTTCCTTTTGAAGGCTGGACTGACGAGCAGGAGAGCCGTGTTGACTTCTGGCTCAGAGGAGCCTCCATGGCTGCCGGTCTCAGACATGCCGTGGTCTCCGCACAGCACCAGCAGGTAGGGCAGAGACCCCTCTGCCTCCTAAGAGAACCAAACACAAGGGTCAATGACCTCCTTCTACAGGTGTGAACCACTGATTTCTATTTATTCACTGGATTGCTGGTTGGCCGAAAAAAGTGAAGCCACCGTCTACCATGCTGGTACTCCCCACTCACACAGAGACAAGTAGTAAAAATGCCTACATGTGGAGCATTTGGCTGCATAAACAAGCAGTTTGCCGGCTGTGGGAAGACGTTCCACGGGTAATTTCACAGTCGGTGGATGTACTAACCAAGAAAATCCACATATATAACAATGTGTCCTATAGTATAGTGCAGAGGTCACAGATTAGCAGACTGGATCTGGACCCAACTGCTGGCTAATCCGGACTGAGCCTGATTTAAAACATTTATAAATTACTGTATGTTGTCCGACTGCAGTGTCTAATTTAATTTGCGCCGCTTCTCCTGTTAATACGGTAAAGCCCTCCACAATGCCGGGACCAGGCTGCGCGTGATGCTAATCAGCCAATGAGCTGCTGTCAGTCTGGGTTGCTGCTGCTGCTACTTTTAGACACAGCAGGCAA